ATGCTGATCAAAGAAATCAAAAGATTAAATAAATGGAGAGACATATTATGTTCATGGATTGGGAGACTCAACATAGTAAACGTGTCAGTTCCCCAAAATTTAATTATTGGTTTAACTCAACTCCTATCAGAATCCCTTTGGCAAGAATTTGTTGTAGGTATAAAAAGGTTTATTCTAAAATTTATGTGCAAAGATAAAAGAACTAGACTAGCTAAGACAACTTTTAGAAAAGAATAGGCTGAGTGTAGTGGCTCACACCTATAATCACACTTTGGGAGAGCGAGGCAGGCAGATTACTAAAGCCCAGGAATTCAAGACCAGCCTGGACAATGTGGCAAAAACCCATCTCTACAAAACAATGTAAAAAATTAGCTGGGCTTGGTGGCACACACCTGTAGTTCCTGCTACTTAGGAGGCTGAGGTTGGAGGATCACTTGAGCCCCAGAGATAGAGGCTGCAGTGAGCTGTGATTGCACCACTGCACTCCAGCCTGGATGACAGATTGAGACCCTGTTTCAAAAAAAAAAAAAAAAAATAGGATAAATAGGATAAAGTAAAAGAATTCACTCTACTTAATGTTAAGACTTACTAACAGTAATCAAGTAATTAAGACACTGTTATTGGATGAAGGGAGAGACATATAGATCAAAGGAAAAGAGGGAATCCAGAAATAAACAATACTACTATATGTTGAATTGATTTTATAAGGTACAAAAAAAGCGTTTCTATGGAAGAAAGCTAGTTTTAAACAAATGATGCAGAAACAATTAAACTTCCATAGTAAAAAAACAAAAAAACTGACCCAAACCTGACACTTATACAAAAATTAATTCAAAATGAATCATGAATTTAAACATAAAACTATAAAACTTTTAGGAAAAAATAGGGGAAAATTTGGAGACCTAGGGCTAAATGAAGAAGGCTAAAAGATGACACCAAAAGCAACCTATGAAATAAAGTGTTGATAAGCCACAGACTAGGGAAAAATATTTGTAAACATTTTCACAAGATATGTTGTATCTAGAATATACATGTATGTATATATATACACACAATTCTAGATACAACATATATGTGAATATATATATATATACTTTTTTTTTTTTTTCCAAAATGGAGTCTTGCTCTGTCACCCAGGCTGGAGTGCAGTGGCACAGTCTCAGCTCACTGTATCCTTCACCTCCTGAGTTCAAGCAATTTTTCTGTCTCAGTCTCCTGAGTAGCTGGACTTACAGATGCATACCACCATGCCCAGCTAATTTTTGTATTTTTAATAGAGACGGGGTTTTACCATGTTGGCCAGGCTGATCTTGACTCCTGACATAATCCACCTGCCTCAGCCTCCCAAAATGCTGGGATTACAGGCATGAGCCACTGTGAATATATTTTAAAATATATTCTCTTGCCCAGCCGAGAATATATTTTAAAAGTCTCAAAATTCAATAGTAAACAAATGATACTATTAGAAAATGGGGGCCAGCCATAGCTTACATCTATAATCCCAGCTCTTAGGGAGGCCAAGGTGGGCAGATCACTTGAGGTCAGGAGTTTGAAAGCAGCCTGGCCAACATGGTGAAACCCTGACTCTACTAAAAATAGAAAAATTGGGTGTGGTGGCGCACACCTCTAGTCCCAGCTACACGAGAGGCTGAGGCAGGAGTATCACATGAACACAGGAAGTGGAGGTTGCAGGGAACCGAGATCATGCCACTGCATTCCAGCCTGAGTGACAGAGTGAGAAGGTCTCCAAAAAAAAGAAAACGGGCTAAAGACATAAACGTGTTTCACCAATGAGGGTATGCAGATGGCAGCTAAGCACATGAAAATAAGTTCAATGTTGTTAGCCACAAGAGAAATGTAAAATAAAACCATATGAGATATCACCACACACCTATCAGAATGACAGAATTTTTTTTTTTAATGGTGTTAACACCAAATGCTGGGGAGGGTATGGATAAACTGGATCATATGCTGTTGGTGAGAATATAAAATGATACAGCCACTCCAAAAAGCAGTTCAACAGTTTCTCTACAAACTAAACATGCACATACCAAAAACAGCTATTGAACTCCTGGGCATTTATCCTAGAGAAATGAAAACTTATGATCACATCAAAACTTATACATAAATGTTCTTAGCAGCTTTAAATTGTAATAACCAGAAACTGGAAAGAAACTCTCATATCCTTCAATAGGTGAATGAATAGTTATAGTTAAACTGTGGTACATACCATGGAATACTATTCAGGAAAAAGAGGGAGAAACTATTGAAATGTGCAACAGATTGTATTGATCTCAAGGGAATTATGTTGAATTTTAAAAGCGAATCTCAAAAGGCTACATGCTGCACAATGCATGCATTTCATTTATGTAATATCCCCGAAATGACAAAACTAAGAAGTGGAGAACTGATTAGTGGTTGCCAGGGGACAGGGACAGTGGAGAGGGGATGAGTATAAAAGAGTACCATGAGAAAATTCCTTTGTGGAAATGGAACAGTTGTGGTTACGTACACGCACACACAAATATATGTAAAAATTGGCAAAAACTGAATAAGGCCTGTAGTAAACAATATTGTATCAATGTCAGTTTCCTGGTAGTATATAAGATGTCACTATTAGAAAAAGCTGGGTGAAGAGTACACAGGACATTATATACTATTTTTGGAAATTCCTGTGAGCTTATTTAAAAATCAACAATTTTTAAAGATAAGTTTATAACTTAAAGGTAAGTATATATAACTTTTGTTAGGTATTGCCAAATTTCCCTCCAGAACAGCTGTACCCATTTGTGTTCCCATCAGAAATATGAGACTGCCTATTTCAGCCCAGCTTTCTAACATAATGTATTATAATACTTTTTAATGTTTGCTAATCTATTAGGTGACAAATGGTCTTTTAGTTTGCATTTCTCTCATGAACAAATTTGAGCATTTTCTGTTCATATACTTGAGGACTATTTTTACATGTTTTGTATGAACTGTTTGCTCTTTTTCCCCTCTTTCTATTAGGTTTTTGTTCTTTAGTCCTTAAATTTTAGAGTTCTTAACATATTACAGGTATGAGGCTTTTGTAGTAAATATTGCAGTTTTTCTTCCAGTTTATCAGTTGTCTTTTGACCTTCTGGTGCTTTTTACCATGCAAAAGGTTTTATTTTTATGCAATCTTATATTTCAATCTTTTTTCTCAGTTTTGAGTCAAGGTTATGTTTTATTGCATGTGGATTTGGGGTCATCATTTCTCTACACGAATGTTTTAGGCAAACTGGCACATGTTTTCCTCTACTATTTGTATGATTTCATTTTTACAGTTAGGTTTTTAATCTACATGGAGTTTTTCTCTTAGGTATGTTGTATGATATGGATCCAGTTATAGCTTTTTCTAATGATTATCCACCTTTCCCAACAACATGTATTAAAGTGTCCATCTTTACCTCCAGTTATTTGAGATGCCACCTTTATCATATTCTAAATTCCGTATATGATGGTGTCTGTTTCTCAACTTTGTATTTTATTCCATTGGACTGTTTGCCTACTCCTGCACTGGAACCACACTTTAGTAACTATAGAAGTTTTAATAGTATATTTTAATATTTGGTAGGGATAATTCTTTTTCATAGTTTTTCAATGTTTTCCTGGATCTTCTTGCATGTATGTTTTTCCATATACTTAGTGTCAACTTCCTAACTCCATGTAGTAGTAATGTATCTTTCAGGAGTGTTTGATAATTTTCCTTGTATAAGTACTTAATATTTTGGGTGCTATTGTAAATGAGGTTTTCTCTATCATTTTATGTATTGTTTTTTGTATTTATAAAAGCTATTGTTTTTTGTTTGTTGATTGATTGAGGCAGGATCCTGCTCTGTTTCCCAGGCTGGAGTACAGTGGTGCAGTTATAGCTCACTGCAGGCCAGACCTCCTGGGCTGAGGTAATCCCCCCACCTCAGTCTCCCAGGTAGCTGGTACTACGGGTGCACACCACCATGCCCGGCTAAGTTTTGCAGAGGTAGGATTCACCATATTGACCAGGCTAGTCTCAAACTACTGGGCTCAAGGGATCTGCCCACCTCCACCTTCCAGAGTGCTGAGATTTCTGGTGTGAGCCACCTCACACAGCCTGTCTATCTAGTTTAAATATCAGTTATACTTGCTTCATAAAAGGAATTAGAACATTGTTTTTCATTTTTTTTCTTAATCCCAAATGTGATAGTATGTCCTTCCTTCTTAATGCTCTAGACAAATTGCCAAAATTGATGAACTCATAGTTGGGTATTACATAATACTCCTAGTTCAGTGGTACCTTCTTACTCCTTCTGCCTTTTTTTTCTTTTCTTTCTAATTGCCAAAGGGTGCTTATTTCATTTTTGTCTTTTTTTCTTTTCGAAAAACTATGCATTTCAAAAATTACTTCCTTTAAATCACTCAGACTTTTAAGACATTCCTTGTGGTCTGTGTTCTGATCTACCCAGATGCTTTCTGTTTTTTAGCATTTTCAGATTTAATGTGGACTTAGTCTTTGTGTCAGTATTTTTAAATCAATGTTAGATCTTTCTGGTAGTTTCCTCTTCAGTTCGCCCCGTCAGGTTTTGTGTGTTTACTTGCTCTGTTTTTGTTTTGGTCTGTCTTTGCTTGCCACAAATCCCGTGAAGCAGTAAGGGTAGGGTAGGAGCAATAGAGATCATGTTTGGTCTTTTTTTTTTCTCCTTTTAGTCACAGTTATTTTGAAGTTTTGGCATCTTCTCTTTTCAAGTTAGGCTGAAGGTATGATTTCATGTGGAATTTACTTTTTCCTTCTTACTGTTTTGGGGAGGTAATAGTATAAAGTAGGTATCTATATCGCTGCCTTTTTTTTTTAAGTTCTGAAGAATGTTTATAGCATATTATATACATTCATTCTTTTTCGTCTGGTTTCTTAGGTATAAACTATAGAAAAGATTAATTAGAAGTGACAGTGACTTTTAAGGGGTGAATATAGTACAATTAACCCTTTTCTGTTGTTAAAGGTTACAGATGAGGCAATTTAAAAAGAATTGGAAGTGTGATTTAGATTCGGCCTTGAATAAATTAGAGGTATGACATTTATTATTTTATCCTTCTGAACCACAATTCTGTCTAGGAGAAAAGAAAAAAAAGACATTTATTATTTTAAATACATAAATGGGATCTCTGAAAATCAATAGCAACCAAAAAGTTTGGAATAATAACTCCATTTTATGAAAAGTTTTAGAAATGTGGCTCTTATACAGAGAAAATGCTCAAGAAAAGGAAGTTTTATTTTTCTTACAAGTTAATATTTTGAAATGCAAACATTTTAATTTCTAGAGTTGTAGACTGTTTTAAAAATAATTCTAAAAATAATTGTTCAGTTTCAAAATTAACTTACATTACAATAAAATAATAATTCTAGCCAGGCGCGGTGGCTCAAGCCTGTAATCCCAGCACTTTGGGAGGCCGAGGCGGGTGGATCACGAGGTCAAGAGATCGAGACCATCCTGGTCAACATGGTGAAACCCCGTCTCTACTAA